AACAAAAACTACCTACCAAAAACCGGTAGTCAAATACTTTGTGGTAACTACTATAAATAAAGACAGCTAATATATGAGCACATAAAATGATTACATTACTAAGATGAATAAAATTCTAACCTTTGAGAAAATGACTCTTATTCACAGTGCCCCTCGATCTACTGTAACCCAACTTCCACTACCTGAAAAATTAATATGTAAGTTGCTAAAACACCAAAGGGCGTTTAAATTGGCTCTTTACGTACAGAAATTTTTTTTTCTAATGTAACTTTCTAAAACAGGGTGTTTTGAATAATTTTTTTTTAAACATGTAAAAATAACGGTGTTATAAAAAATATTATTAATCAAAAAATTTATTAAACAAAAAACACGATTTAATTTTAAATTGATTTAAATACGAGTGGTGTGGCGTGGTATTATGCTGCAATGTAAAAAAGCTTTACAATTTGAACATGCAACGATTCTTTTTATCAACAAACCAATTACAATTAATTAATCAACAGTCTTTTCTTTGACTAATAATATTATTGTATAGTTGCGTACAAATGAAGTTTTCTGAGATTTTTTGATGTGTTGTTAAAAACCACATTAAACTCATTTAAAGACTTTATGAATATCTATTAATATAATGATGTCTTTAATAATTATATTAGCATTACGTAAGTAAATTTTGTCTCAAAATTTTCGTAAGTTAATTTTTGAGACAAAATATGGTTTTAATTATAATATATTATAATTATTAAAACGCAATAATTTTGGTTGAAATAATTACTAACAGCAATTTAAATCTCATGTATAAAATAAACTATTAAAAAATAATTGGTAATATGACAATGTTATTGAACCAGAGTACATTATATCGATCGAACTTAGCACAACTTATATATCCAAAAGTGCACCTGTTTAGTATATTTTTGGTAGTGTCATAATATTTTCATAATAATTTAAATTTTAAATATTTTTATAATATTTTGTATTATAATGCATAATATTAAATTATCTTTAATATTATGCTCTATTGTGGTATAAATAAAAACATACTTTAGTGCCAAACATTAGTTTGTCACATGAGAATGTTTAGAAAAAGATTGGAACAACCACCTCATTAGGCGAAGGTGTAAACTTTACAAAATTATACCTTTTAAAAAAATCATTACTAATTTGTTGCCCTCACATTTAGAGTAGAGATGGTAAATGTTTAGGGTATTTTGTATCCAGGCTTACGTGACCAAGGTGCCCAATTTCTGTTTCTCTGGAACAATAACTTTTCTAAAAAAAAAAAAAAAAAAAAAAATTCTTTAAATATATCTTAAATATATCTCTTAAATATATCTTAAATATATATAAACCTTGCGGCTCTAGGTTCAGTTGGTTGTGGAACCGTAAGTTTTGCTTATACTGGCATTGCGGTAGCTAGGCCACTGATACTACATGCAGATAAAGGTATTTACGTGAAAAGTTCTAAATTTTTTATGTTTTTTATAAGTCCTTACGGTCTTCGCACAGAGCACCGCTGATGAGCATTTAATTGAAAGTTCACGCCTACTTCCTATCCGATGTCGCAAAGAAAATTTTCGGGGCTCCTAATTCTTCTAGGCATGGTGTTATAGTCCCGATAATTCAGGGCGAGTTTAAACTTACTCTCCTTAGTTTTTAAATAATAAATACATTTACGCAAAAGCTTGTAAAAAGGACTAACAATTATGCCAATTAATTTTCTTTCAAACAAACTACCCTTTCTGAGTCTCCCATAGGTATATGCGCCTTCTGCTAACATCTTTTTTTCAGCTTTGTCCAGACCTTTCGAACGGTTGGCCATAGAGTGAACATTGTTGAGACGGTTTGCTTCAGAGAATGTTTATTATAGCTAAAACTATCATGACCGGAACTAGACAGTTTTAATCATGGGCGGAACCCTATTATTGATATTTTCAAACTTTACATGAAAGAAATATTTAAAACCGCGCAAATCGAATGTTAGGGAAAACTAAATGTCTTATGCCTTATTCCTTAAAATTTAACTTTTTTGCGTTACTTTTGTACAAAATACTGACAAAGTTATTGTAAAATATAAGTAAATTTATTTACTTACTTTATATAAATTACTTTTAATTTACTTTACAAATTATATAAAATGTAAGTTTATTTAATTTAAAATTTATTTTATGTAACTTATTTTTAATAAAGATTTGTTATTACTTTTTATATAGAAAATTCCTACTTAAAAAATATTATTTTTTTTGTAAATTTAATTTACATTTGCTAGCATATTACTTTTATGTAATTTACTTTTATATGTAAGTTACTTTTTAATATAATTTTTTTTAAATTAGTTACTTTTAAAGGTAAATGTAAATTACAGTTTGAGTAACTTTTATATTATGTAAAGTAATTTTCAAAAGTAATTAACTTTTAAATGTAAAAGTAAACCGCTTTTTCACGTGACTTACTTTTACATGTAAAAGTAAATTACTTTTTAATCAAATCTTTTTTTACATAACTTACTTTTGAAAGTAAAAAAACTTACATTATAAAGTAAAAGTCGTTTCAAAAAAATTAATTACTTATACGGAAATGTAAATTTACATAAAACGTTTAAAATTACTTATATAATTTACTTTTTGATAAAGATTGTTTTACTCGTATAAGTAAAAAAAAAGTAAGTAAAAGAGCCATTCCTAGTCACAGCCATATCTACTTCAACAGGCAAATGTATAGATGCTGTTGTGTTGTCAAAACATTGTAAAGGATGTATTCTTTGGAAAAGCAAAAAAGGAACTCCAGAATATGAGGATTGGAAAGCCAACCATAAATTTTTTGCTAATCATCAAAGATCATCTGGTGCTATGGAAGGTGCAGGTACAATTACTATTTTCCATCGGTTTGTCGAAAAATATAAGTTACAATATACTAGTTATTTGGGTGATGGTGATACCTCATCGTATTCTGCAGTATTAGCTTCATGTCCATACAAAGATATAGAGATCAGAAAAGCAGAATGTATTGGGCACATTCAAAAAAAGATAGGAAGTCGTGGACGCGCACTGCGTCAACAGTGTAAGATGGAAAAGCAGTAGCAGGAAAAGGGAGGTTAACCAATAAAGCACTTAACCTTTTACAACATTATTTTGGATTTGCTATTAGACAAAATTCAGGTAATATATATCAAATGAAAAAGCCTGTATGGGCAGTGCTTTTTCACAACTCTGATATTAAAGACATGAATATACGTCATCAATTTTGCCCACGAACTATTGCCAACTGGTGCAAATGGCAACGTGACCATTTAAGTAGACATATAACATATAAACCCAAGCTAAGCTTGCCATTAGCAATAAAAATTATTCTTGTCCCAGTATTCAAAGTCTTAAGTAATGAAGAACTACTTGAAAAGTGCCTTCACGGTTTTACACAAAACAATAATGAAGCATTAAATGCTATAATCTGGAAACAATGCCCCAAACATATTTTTGTAAATAGAAGTATTATTGAAATATCAGTTAATTCTGCAATTATTAATTTTAATGAAGGTACCCATGGAGTCATTGATGTTTTAAAAAATTTGGGAATAAGTATTGGACATTTTACTCATATCGGATTGATGAACCGTGATAAATGCAGAATTAAAAAATGTACAATCAAGTTATCACTTACTGCAAAATCCCAACGACAGAAGTTGCGCCACCAAAAAAAAAAGGGTTTAATGATAGGGAAGCTTAATTAGAACCATGCCAAGCTTATTCTACTGGATTTTATTCGTTTTTCATACTTTATAGTTTATTTTTTTTTTTTTTATCAAATCTTCTTTTGCGTTTTTCTTTGTTTTTGATTTTTGTTAAACATGATGTATTTGAAAACATGATATATTGTGAAGTAGTAAAGCAAATCACTTCAAATTTTCAGGAAATGTTTATTATATTATTTTGTAAGGAATGACATTTCGAAATTCTAAAATTATTCTCCCATCTCCTTGTTAATTAGTTTTTAGGCCTAAAATAATTTTTTTTTATGTTCTATAGAAGAACTGCAATAGTTGTTGATGTAGCCAAATAATCTTAAAATCCCTATGTCATACCTTAGTTTACATGTCTAGAACATGTGCAAAAAATTTCATAGGTTATGCATTAATATATTTCAAGATAATGTGTTTTGAATAGACCCATCAAAAAAAACGGTTTTTGATATAAGCGAGACAAAACAAAGTTAAGTATAAAAAAAGCATTTTCAATTTAAATATTTTGCATTAATATCAAATTGATTTTTTTTTTCAAGTTTTAAAGAATATATAATATTTGGTGGTGTACCACCTTAATTGACTTAATACTGAGAATTAAATATTTTCCGGGGGTCTTTTTTTTCTCTTCATTAAATATTGTGAATTGTAAAAACTATTTAGGTTTACATATGATATTGTTTATACAATGCTAATATTTTGTGGTAATTTTTGTAAATGACCCCCGGTTTGGTAACTTACAGAACGTCCTTTATCTTATGAAGTAAAAATTTTCAACATACGTTTTTAATATGATTTTGAAAGCTTATTTGATGTTCTTTCTAATGGTATAAAAAATTTTGAAAATAACGAATAATTTTTTTTGCTTTGGGGGTTTATTACGTCATACCACGTGACACAAACCATAAATATTAAGTGACACCTGTCACTTATCAAATCCTTTTCATACAAAGATCTCATATCAACAAAAAGTTTGTTAGTAACACGTATGTGTTTGTTTGTATGAAGTTTGTAAAAAGTTTGTTTGTAACACGTATGTGAAGAGTATTTTTGATGTCCTATACACTTTTTGTCAACAATAAATACCCTATACACTTTTTATAGGATATCCTATAAGACTATCTGACTTGGGATATTCTTTTAAATTATTTACTCTTTTATAGCATCTTTTAAGGGTTAAAGTTTATAAAAGCAAGATTACATGAATGGTTGATAAAAAAAAGGCTAAAAAACAAGTTACTAGCTAAAAAAGACTCAACAAACAGACTTAAAAAATATTTACATCGCAAACAACATAAAATTTACATTTTTAATAAATCAATTTATACTATTAAAAAAAAAAAGAAATAAGATATTCAAAAGATGCATTTCACTGTCATAAATTTCATTATTGATCCAATATCTCTTTTGGTGTATTCTTTTGATCTAATCATAGGACAACTGCAAAACATCTGGTCGCATCTCTAAAAAATTAAAAATTTTATGTGTGTGTGTATGTGTGTATATATATATGTATATGTGTATATATATATATATATATATATATATATATATATATATATATATATATATATACACACACACACAGTATTGACAAAACATTTTCAACCAACATCGAACAATGTTAAAAATTGTTCTTAATTTTACATGTCTTAAAAACGAAAGGAACTATACTACCACAGCAAACAATTCAGAAGTCTGGAGTCATAGCATGCCATGACATAAGCAATTAGCTGACAGGTGACAGCACACAGGCAGAATTTCGTTGACAAGTGCCATTTTGCAGCGGACAAAACAAGTGCAAAACAAGTTTTTGGTTTAATTCATTTTCTTAAGTCTGGTCCGTGTCAACGTCACGGAAGTTTTTTAATAATTAAAGGAAGTATCCAGAAGTTTCCAGAAGCATGCAGAAGCTTCCAGAAGTTTCCAGAAGAAGCATCTGGAAGCATCCAGAAGTATACAGAAACATTCAGAGGCATCCAAACGCATCCAGAAGCTTCCAAAAGCATTGAAAAGAAGCAACTAGAATTTTCCGGAACAGGTTCACACAGGTTCATTTTACTATATAAGAGAAATGTAATCGACATGTAATTCAGTCAGTATAAGTCAATCAGTCAGTATTATCAAGACAGGTTTTAAAAGTACAACATCCAACCAAGACGTTGTGTTCCACAGAGCATTATTGTATCATCACAAGGTAAATGTAACACGGTAAGCCTTGAGAAGCGTGATTATTTATTTTTATTATTTTCATGACTTCAAGTGCAAAAATGGCTCCCGACAGTCTTGGATTGGAACTCAGAAAGAAAATTATTGGCGATTACGTAAGTGGAATGTCACAAAAAAGTATTTGTGATAAATATCGCGTGAAAAAATGGGCCGTATCAAGACTATGTTTCAAAGATCGTTCTACGGGGAAGTTGGCAGCAGATAAATGTGAAAAACCGCTTCTAGAGAGGATTCTATGATCGCCAGATCCGTCAAGAAGGATCCCTGGATATCATCAGTCGAGATACAAAAGAAATTAGAGCTGCCTGTATTGGACCGAACAGTCAGACGAGGTGCTGTTGAAGCCGGATTGTTTTCTCGACGCCCTGCAAAGAAACCGCTGATTTCACTTAAGAACTAGAAGAAAAAACTCCATCTCATATTGACTGAAACGTGCAGAAATGGCGAACTGTCCTGTTCAGTGATGAATCAAAGTTCAACATCATTGGGAGCGATAGCGTTTGCCGTGTATGTTGACCGGCCGGAAAACGCCTCGATTTATGTTACTGCCATAAGACCGTGAAACATGGTAGAGACAATGTAATGGTCTGGGAGTGTTTTTCTGCTAACTGTCTAGGCCCAATAAATCGAATTGATGGAATAATGGACCGTTTCATGAATAAAAATATCCTGAAAGATGTCATGTTACCTCATGGCATGAGGCTCATGCTGAATGGAATATGCCAATAAAATGGATTTTTCAGCAAGACCACGATCCGAAACACACTGCAAAAGTAGTCAAGCAGTGGTTTCAAGACAACCACCTATCGGTGATGGATTGGCCGCCTCAATCTCCGGATCTCAACCCTATCGAGAACCTGTGGGAGATCGTCAACCGAAGAATTAATCGTGAAGGTGTTCGTAATAAGGATCAACTGTTTGAACAAACCCAAAAGGCGGTCTAAGCAGCGATTCCACATAGTTTCATTGATCACCTGATCGAATCTATGCCTCGAAGATGGAAGGCTGTGATCGACAACAAAGGATTCGCAACGAAATATTGATAGCGAAATAATTCAAAAAACGTTTCAAAAACGCACTAAATGAAAAATATTCTGAAAAATAGAAATTTATTACATCAAAACTTCTACACAAAAGTTTTTACATTAGCAAAACGCTTTTAAATAAAGTAGCAATTTACTGATAATGTTTTTTTTTCTAAAATATAATTGACAGTTGTATTTTTTTTTAATTTATAATATATAAATTGTTTAAGTGTGGGTTTCTATAATAAACGTTATTAAAAAACTAAATATTGTTTTGTTTTTATAAATGATGACATTTTACGACTACTAAAGTCTGTTTAACAAATTTTAATATAAGAATAATTAAACTTAATGCATTTAAAAAGATAAACAAAATTTCGTTGAAAAACAAAAAGTTTTGAAAAACCGTTAAAATTAAATAAGGTCTTAACTGCTTTTATAATATGGAAACGTTTTTCAATTAAGTAACAAAACACTTTTAATTAATTTTTAAAATAAGTATTAATAAACTTTTGTTTTTTTTATTTTAATTATGTATTTTTTATGAGAAATACTTATCTTTGGAAACACATTAAATTAAAAATAAAGTACAAATGTTAAAACAAAGATTGAAACGTTTCTTTAATGCGTAAATTAAATAGACTAAGCATTTTAGTTTGATAAGTTTCGTTTTAGTTGGGTTATATATATATATATATATATATATATATATATATATATATATATATATATATATATATATATATATATATATATATATATATATATATATATATACATAAATAAATATATATATATATATATATATAATATATATATATATATATATATATATATATATATATATATTTATATATATATTTCTTTTTGCTTTAACTTTGTATTTTTTTAATTTTCTCTTTTATGAAGATTTTTTTTCTTTTTACAATTTTTTTTTTTTTTAGATAACTTTAGTTATGTTTTTGTAGCGCGATTTTAAATTTTAAAAACATGTCAAAAGCCGTCGTCAAATCGTCAAATTCTTTGCAGACAACAGTAAACTTATAGGGATTATGAAAAGTTCGAACAATCAAATGACGCTGCAAAAAGATTTGAACAAAATTGTTGATTGCTAAAAAAAATGGAAAATGAAGCTGAATTATGCAAAATGCAAATCGATTGTAATCAGGGAATTGTCAGCAACACCAAAAGTCCCTATATATGATTATACAATACTTAACGGCAATGGGTTTCTTTGTTCGTTAGAAAAAACAGAAAGAGATCTTGTTGTTTAAATTACAAATAACCTGAATTGGATGAAAGATCACTCAAAACTTGTTTCAACCAGAGCAAACCTTTTGCTTGGGTCACCAGTCAGACTTCGTAGACGAGCTACGAAGCTGGTTCTTGAACTAAAGAACATGACATACCAAGAGAGACTTACAAAATTTGGTTTAACAATATTAGTAGAAAGGCGTAACAGAGGTGATGCAGTTCAATATTTTAACATAATAAACAATTTCAATATTACCAAACAATAATACCGAAACACAATTGCAAGCTCAATCGGTTTAGAAGGACCAGCAAGTGAAGTAAGAGGTTACCCTCATCATACTTCTATGCAAGTAACAAAAAACTATGCTCAAAGAGAAAATATTTTTTTGAAAAGAATTGTGCCTATCTGGAATCAACTTCCGATAAAATTTGTCAATGTCTCGTCAATTAACTGCTTCAAGAACCTTCATGGCAAGCATTAAAAAGTGGCTGCTATAACCAAGCAAACTGGTTTACTAGAACCTCATTGTTGTACAAAATGACTGACAACTACATTGAGCTGACCCGAGAAAACTGCTTTGACTGGGTGAAAGTACAATGTTTCCTGACTCTACAATGTTTCCTGACTGAAAATGCAAAATTTGAAATCTAACTATTTCGTCCGAGAAAATAAATTTGATTTTAAGTTTTGAAAGTTTTGCACAATATGGCGAAATGACAGCATTTCAAATTTTACATTTTTACAACATTCAAAAACATTCTAAATATAATATTTATTACTCCAAACATACAAATATACTTAACAAAAACAAAGATGGGTATTTTACAGAAATTATAAACAACCATTCCTTCGAAAAATGTGAAACTGCAAAACAAATTTTCTGTGAAAAATTTTTTTTTGATACTCTACTTTAAAACACTGTACCTACTTTTGATTCTGATTAATGAAAAAAGAAACTAGTAAATTTCTTAGTTTAAACTCTTCTAAAACTAGATTCTTTACAATTGCTTGCTGTTGTAATCCACAACATAAGAAAGAAGCTTCTTTGCATATTCTGGATGATTGCAATCTCGCTTGTACCTTTGCCAGTGTGAGCTAAAATTGAGGATGTATTGATTCTGTTGCATGCTCACTAAAAATCCCAAATGGAGTCTTTTTCATCTCAATGAATTGCTTTACATAGAAGTAAACAGCATGGACTTTTGTGGTCACACTGACCACACCAGATTTGAACACTGACCACACCAAGATTTGAGTCTTTGAAGCGATCAATTTTTTTTGCAGAATCATTCTCAAGGATCATTCCAAAACATGTTTTCACCACAGACATTTGACGTTTATCAATGATTCCAAAAACTTGAAAAGCAGACTCTGACTCTGCAATCCTTTGCAGGATGTCTATATTGTTAAGTAGCTTGTGGTAGGCATTCCCTGCAAACTACCCACTATGATATGGCTCTTGTTGGATGTGGAGAGCTGAAGGCCATCTGAAAGCACCAGGCCAAACTTTTGTCAAGGCTTTGTACATGTGATTTACAGATAGAGCTCCATCGGGGTATAAGTTCCAAGATGAGTTTGTTTTCATATCCAGATCCAGCAATAATACATGGACCACATTGCCAAATGACTTTGCCTTCTTAATGTCATTGCCAGACTTAACAAACTCTTGATGGCAGGCAACAAGTGAGCCAAGTGTTCTCAATGATCCTGATTGGGAGAGGTTCAATGTCGCACCATGAGCAAAGATGAGAACTTGCATGGTTTTGCAGTCCGCATATAAAGTTAGCGAGTTTCATGTCACATAAGACAACAAAGTTGACTGAGTTGAATTAGATCATTGATAATATTTGTCTCACATTTTCAAGTTTTTCTGGAAATCTCTCTGAAAAAGCCACAAGCATTTGTCACTTTTGTAAATACATTGCTGTACTTGGTTATCCTCTCAGTTAAAAGTTTTTTATGTGGTGGTGACCTTGAATCACTCTGAGAATCCTCAAGAAAAGCTCAATGACAACTAGGACACTTTAAGAAATCCCCTACCTTAACTACCATCAATTCCTAACTTGTCTATATGGCTCTGGAAAACTCTTTGAGAAAGGAGCACTTCATTGAAAAGTTGGGCAAGATCCTTGCAATTCACATTTAGCACAAAAATTTGGCTCTACAATCTTGGTGTCACTGACTCTGTTAATAGTTGATGCCAATTTCTACATGCCTAGATTTGACAATCCTGAATTCAACTGAACCTGCACAAGATCTTCAGTTTTGATTTTTGGCTCTGGAAAAAGGTTTCTGGGGCTTGAGCTTCCTAAAAATGTAAACATTTTTAAATATCTTTAGTTCAAATTTAAACATTGCAATATGTGTAATTTCATATCTAACTTAACTCTGAGAGGTTGATCACCTTTAGAGTGTGAAATTTTGACAATAACTCCAGCAGTTGAAGGTTTGGAAGAGATTACTTGAGTTTTGATTTGTTATGCAGCCAATAGACCTGCTGTAACTAACTGTTTAGATTCTCTCTAAACTTGAATTAACTGCACTGATGTGGCAGACATCTTCTAACAAGGCTCAAGCAATCACAACATCATTGGGGAGTGTTGTCTCCCTCAGGTTTGGAGCACCTTAAGAGTTGTTTTTAATCAGCTTTAGCAGGCTTGGTCGGGAAGCGGGAGCGATCGCTCTCGAATACTGACCACGGAAATTATATTTAGTTGCGAAAAACTGGCCAGGTTTTGTAGTTGTTTTGAGAACATTTAAGTTTATTTACGAAACAAAAAATTTTTGTTTTACGGACATACATGGAAACATAAAAAACTTAAATGTTCTCAAAACATCTTGATGCGAAAGAAAAAAAAGAATATTTGCGAACACTAAAAACCCACCAAATTAACGAACAAACTAATTCTATTGGTGCTGACTAAGCGAAATAAAATTTTGGAGCATTTTGTTGAAATGTTTTAGAAATTATATGATTCACGATTTGTTACGTTTTCAGATTTCTAGCATAAATCGTTTTAAGATTATATATAAATTGTTTATAAAAATAAATGTTTTAAATATATATTAATTAAATTCTCAAAATTTTAAAAGTTTATTACAAATTATAGATTTTATTTGTACATTCTTATTTTTTATGTAAATGTAATTTTGTTGATCTGTTTTTTATCGTAATGTATCTTTTAAAGCAATTTTTATGATTTAAACAAAGACTTACAAAAATAATTGCGTTTTCAATAAAGTTATAATCGTTAAAGTTAATAAAACTAATCATGTAACACATATAAGAAGTTTCTGGTTACTAAACACAAACAACGCATACAAAGTAACTCGCGGATGAACAAGCACCGCGCCTGAGGTCACGACAGAACACAAATATATATAGCAAATAATTAGATATAAAAAAAAGTTTCTAGATATTGGTTTAATAACTCTAATTATTTTCGCTCCATTTGCCATCTTAAAAACTCGTTACACTTTTTTCTGCTTTAATTACTAATTGAATTACTAACTAAATAAAAAGCCCACTCACTAAACATCATCAGCGATATTGTGAAGCAGTTTCGCTTCCTCGTCATATTTTTAACCTTTTTAATTGATTTCTATCTTCTTAATTTAATGTCTATAGTAATTCAATGATTTAGTTATTTCATTTGTTTATCTTACTAAAAAGAATTGCTTCAAATATGTTAAACTTTTCAAACTACGCGAAACATAAAATAGGTATTAATAAAAATTAGCTTTTTTATTTATAAAATAATTTAGCTTAAATAAAACTAAAACTTGCAAACTTTGTTTAATAAAGAATATTTGTTTCCTTTTTAAACAATCGTAAGATGTTACTTTAGATAAAAAACATCGCTTAATTTTAAAAAAAATTTTTTGGAATTGTCTCTCATCGGTCCAATTAATCTTAAGCGCTTTTTTTTTTCTTCTTTTTAAAATGTTCTTCAAACGACTAAAAAATCTGGCCAGCTTTTCGCAACTAAACATTATTTACGTGGTAAGCAATTGAATTAAATTACAGAAAAAGAGATGCACAAACCAATTGGGCATATCGACCTCAAATATATTTGATATATTTGAACAGTTATTACATTTGAACTAAAATTTTATATAGTGATCCAGTTTTTATTGAATCTGTTGGGATCATACAGAATCGTCTATTTTACAGACGTGTTAGTTATATAATAGTTTAATGATAAACAAAAACTAGGGTTACAATATGGAAATATGCATAAAAGAATCATGGAATCTGAAAAATACATTATTTTGAAATTATAGCACAATGTACAGACCGGTCAGTAAATTACACAGGTATACGGTTCCACAGACCAATTGGGCAATATGACTTTAAATATATTTGATAATTTCCAATTGTTATTACATTTGACTTGAAATTTTTGATGGAGATACATAACTATAAAAAAATTAAATGCCATAATTTTTTTTGCATTTGTCAAAATTATCCAGAATTGTTAATTTTACAGACTGAAGTGTTTTTATTTATTTACCTAGTCTTTTAAAAATAAATTTAGATTTAAATCTTCTAGAAAAAAAAGAAAAAATTCAGGTTATATTATAAAAACTCCATGCTATATGCATAAAGGATCGTGGAATCCAATTAATTCATCTGTTTAAAACTATTGCTTAATTTACAAACCGATTAGTAAATCACTGCGTAAGGGCATTGAAATAAATCATTCAGAATTATCTATTTAACAGACAGAAGATTCTTTAATAAAACTAAAATTTAAATTTGAATGAAAATAACTTACAGCAACAGAACTTCCTGAAATTTTAAGTACTTACAACAGTAATAGCAGGTGTAACAGCAGAACTCTACCTAAAATTGTAATAAAATTATTATTAAAAACAATACATCTAAATATATACAATAATACATCAAATAACATCAGATACACAATAATTTAAAAAAAATATTTGTTAATTCATTTTAAAAATTAAAAATTAAAAAAAATTATAAATTAACAATTAAAACTAAATAAATATAAAATAAGAAACTTATTTTTGGAGATTTGTGAACTGTCGACAACACCTAAAATGAAAAAATGAAAACAACATTAAAACAAAAAATATTTTTATTCTAAAATTTATCTCTTGGCTTTTAGTGAATGATTAGAAGTAGTTTCAGTAACGAAACAACCTAATAATCATTTTTAACGATAGACACCAGCGAGAAGGTAAGCCAAGTTGTCTATCAACACAAAACACACAGACCATGTGACACTAAACACTGCAAAAAATGCTGGGGCAGATATTCTAATGATGCCCTTTCTAATTTAGACAAGGAGCAAAAATGCATTGTAAACATAGTTGGACCTGCTCTTGCAGCCAACATCCAACTATTATCACATGGTTGTAATGGTGCTTCTCTTTCTCTTTTCTACAAATATGGGCACTGCTCTAAAGAGCTAGCGTCCCTTGTTTATCTTATTCTTTTGTCTCCCTTGTTTATCTTAAACTCATACTCTTTTTTTTTTCCACGAACATCAGTTCTTTGGAATTAGCTTTCTTTATCTTGCTTCCCTGTTTCATATAATTTGCAATCTTTCAAGTCATCTGTCAATTGTTATCTTACTCTACAAACTTTATCTTTTCTCTTCCAGTAACTTCCAACTCCAATGTTTGCTTGCAGCCTAGTTGGAACAACTCAAAAATATACATACAATAACTTACTGTTGTTTCAACGCTGTGCCACAAGACCAACAGAACACAAACATAAATAATAAAAACAAAAACTTGATCAAAATGACTAACCTGCATTATCAAATGAAATTATAGCCATTCCACAGTTCCAACAGAAGAGTAAGATACATGTAATGATATACAGGTAGATAAACACAAAGATACACATAATGACTAATGGCTACATAAATACAAACATACATATAATGACTTACGAGTGGGTCAGCACCGCTCCAAAAGTCCAACAGAACACAAACATACACATAATGACTGATAGGTACATAAACACAAACATACATATAGTGACTTACGGGTGCGTTAACACCGCTCCAGAGGTCCAACAGAACACAAACATACACATAATGAGTAAAAGGTATATAAACACAAACATACATATAGAGACTTACAGGTGTGTCAACACCGCTCCAGAGGTTTGACAGAACACAAACATACACATAATGACTAACAGATACATAAACAGAAACATGCATATAGTGACTAACAAGTGAGTAAAAACAAACAAGCAAATAATTACAGACACACCTACAAAAACATACATGCAAACACAAAAAAATGTAAACACAAGGATACATATATTGACAGGTATGTCAGCACAAAAATAGAAAGCATGACTTACGGGTATGTCAACATGATGGCAGATGTCTAATAGAAAACAAATATACATATAAAGAATTGCCGGTGCGCCAACACCGCTCCAGATGACCAAACAGAACACAAACAAGAACACATTAAATTGAATGACAATAAAAATAATAATAACAATAATATTATTAATAAGAAGACTAACAAACATAAATACAATAAATTAAATCCCCATTGTGTCCAAAATGATATTAACTGCATTTTTGTTTTTTACAAACTTTGCCCTCCACATAACCATCAGCTTGTCCCTCTAGCACAACACATTTCATCCTCCACTCTTTGACCAACTCAATGTCATACTTATCTTCATAACCATCATATAGTATATGAAACTCATACTCTTTATCAAATTCATCGTCGTCTAGAACACTTACCACAAGCCCTGAATGAATACCATACATCCTTGCCATCATTATCTACTATTTTATGTTTTATTCTTTTTCCTAAAAACTTTGGAACCCCTCCCTTTGATGTGCCTGTTCTTATTTTACTTCCAGTTTCATTAAGTAACCTAGCGTCGCTCTCTAATCTGACTTTTTTTTTTTAATGTTAACAACATTTCTTGTCTTTCATTAATCTGTCTGATAACTGAACATTTTATTGCAGTTGTGCGTTGTTCAGGGACGTCTTTTAAAAATTTAAAAATTGATATTAGATTGGTTTTTAATTTACCAATACCAAATTTTTTGTAATAATCCCCTTTTGCCTTTTCTCCTAATTGTAACCACTTTTCTGGAGATTTTTGCTGTAATACTTTTAATCGAAATTTAATTTGTCTTTGCAACTTCATTACAATTTCATTTTCAGTTCCTGAAATTTTTTCAAAATCCTCTTCACACAAAATTAAACCACCATCCTTTCCGATTTCTGTTGTCAAAAACACTTTCTCTTCGCTTGCCTTTTGTTTCTTTATTTCCTTTTCTAAGTTGCGCTTGTCCATATCATCAATTTTGTACTGCAATATATTTGCTTTTTTCTCTCTGTACTTTCTGATATACCCTTTTCTATTTCGTCTTGCTAGTAAAACTAGCTTTTCAATTTCTTCCTGTGATTTTCCATCTATTCAATCAGCTGTTTTGTTGTTGTTAAACATGATGACACCAGCTGCAGCTACTGTTGTCATGTTAAGTTTCATTTTTAACTTGCGATCATAGGAAGCAAAGTCACGTTCAGACACAACGTTAGTATGTGGGCAGTTTTGAGTTTCCTCGAGCACATCATCACCCGGATTGCCATATTTTCCTCCAGGCAATTGGTCTCTTAACTGACTCTGAATCATTAACAAAAATGTGCAACATATAACTTCAAGACATTCTTGTGTTAAGGCATCCAAAAGTGGATCATTACAATTCGAAAATAAATGATCAAATACTTCACCTTGGTGAGATATTTTACATCAAAAAATGTAGAACCACTTAAAATTTTTGATGCATCAAAAAAACAACAAAAAAAATAATTGAATATTTGCAACCAAACGGTATTCAAGGAAAAAATATGACTCTCCTCTTCAATAATACAAAAAAGAGGTCTTGATATCAGTTTATTAAAAATTCCTAGAGCTCTAATTGAAGCGTGAAAAATGATGTTATCAATATGAAGGAAATTTGAACCATCAAGATTGAAAACAAATTCTTTAAGGTGATCTTCATGAAAATATGTTGCTCCACCAAATACAAATATAATGTTAAAGCGATGATACAGAAATAAAACTATGTAATTTTTTAAAAACTTTCAACGCAAAAATGTCTTCCATTCATCAGCTTTTCTATTCCACTGATCACCATGCCTATAGCTTGTAAGTTTTGAAAGTTCATACAAAATATCAAAGGTGCGAGAGTTTTGAGAGTTTTTAAAACCACCATGAATACTACCTTCCTGCTCAGCCACTTTTTCCCATTCTATGATTGCTTTTTCTGCATATATTCCTAGATTGTGAATAAGGTGTAAGCCACCAAAAACATGATGCATTTGAGAAATTTTTCATTAAAAGGAAGCTGATCATAGTTTTTAACAACAAAAGGCAAAATTGCTTTTCTCCAATGTTTAAATTGGATAAAAAACTTGAATTAACAATAGTGCGATCAATCAGTTTTTTAGCTCTCCAAAATAAGATTGTACCTCTCCAGAAAACATATCTTCTATTCCAAACGTGTAGCTACCAGATGATGTTGTGACTTGAAAACTACCAACCACCCTAAAATTATACTTTGTGCCATCTGTATGAAGAACATTGTTTGTGCTATTCAACATAGCCTCTCTCACTTGAGCTTTTGATAAAAGGTTCATTTCACTAAAAAAATCAGCAGCCAAAGATTTTTTTTGGAAGTGAACCACATGAAATTCCAGCCATTTTTTGTAGTACAGTTCTGATAACAGATTCAACATTAATTACAGAAACATTTTTATATAAAAGGTTGTAATATACAGTGCGAATTTCATTATTATATCTACCTCCTTCAAAAACATCAATTATATTTTTTTCAAATATGTCAACTCTTTCCTTCAGCTCTTCTGTAAGATTTTCGAAGTAATTCAACTCTCCTTTAAGAATGAATCATTCGTTTCATCAGATTTTTTCACAACAGTGTTTTCAATTTTTTTCTTCAAATACCATGCCTTTTTGTCAATCTGATTGTGAACGCTTTCTAGCCAAATCAATTTCTTTTTCCAATCTTAAATTTATTTTTAACAATTGGCTAATCCTACAATCCTTTCTAATGTCTCTTTTGTTGACATTTCTGACATTATATTTTGATAAGATTGCTTGATACTTTCTCTTATATTGATTGCATCTTTTATTAACTTGTCTATTTTTCAATTTAAGGTGATTATTTCTCCGTTTGTATCTTTTTATTTGATAGGTCAAATCACCAGAAAATAAAGGTAGTTTTTTATCTGAATTGGAAACTGGAAGAATCTCTTCACTAACACGCGTTTCAGTAAGAAATTTTTTAAACCTATTTTCAAAGGGATATATACAATAGAAGTTGGGGTAACAGGGCACGACACTTCATCATTAGTAATTTGCAAGTTTAAATCAGAAGATACAAAAACAGTTACATGATTTGGAACAATTTCACTATTGTAGATAGAAGTAGGGGTAGGACAAGCATCAGAAGGTAACAAACCAACAAAATCAAAAAAAGCACCATTAAAAGATAAAGCAGAGCTTAAAAAATGTTTTAAGTCCAAATTTTTGGCTTGATTTAATTTTACAATGTAATCTTTAAATTTTTTTAAGATCCTTATAAGCATCACTCTTGAGATATTATACTTACAGTAGGTTGTAAAAAATAATGAAAGATTTTCTAATGTTATGTTATGTTTATTTTTGTCTTTGCAAATTTGTAAAAAACAGCTATTAGTTAACACAAAATCAGGATATTTGAGAAAAACAATGCTATCATTTATATCTAAAAAATCCAAAATATTCTTGCAGGTTGCTGTTTCAGAAAACACTTTGGTAGCTAAAATTGATAATAAATTTAATTTGAGTGATTACAATAAATCTTTTGCTAATCAAAGAGTTGAAGTTTGATAATATCTTTGTGAAAATAAACAAAGGTAGATCATCAAGCTTAAGATTCTATAAATAAAATTATTGAAAAATAAAATGTTTGTTATATATTTTTCCGGATTTAAAAATTTTAAGTCTATCTAAGTATGACTTACATTCTTGACTTATAGATTGAACCACCATCTCACGTAGATTGTTAAGTTCACAGCCTAAAAGAAGAGAATTTGAATTTGAAATTAAAGTTCATTGGTTCTTTTACTTAGCCAATAAAAAATATATATAAAAATAAATGAAAAAAAAAATGATAACATTCTTACACATTTCCATTTTGTGAACTTTAGACTAAAAGTTTAGTTGATTACTATTTCTTTTTGTTTTGAAAAAAACAGTTTAGAGAATCTACAGACTAAAAACAGTAGTAGAAACTGTAAGAATCAAGCTTGTAGTTGAGCAATCCAGACAAAATACCTTTAAAAATATAAAATCTTTATTTTTATTGCCTTGAAAACTTAAGTCATTAATAAGGAACATACTTTCACTTTCAATTTTATTCGTAGTTAAAATTTCGGAATTGCTAAATCGAAACAAAAAACGTCATAAAATACGCGAAGAAATATATATAAAT